GGGTGTTTATGTTGGGATTGTGTGTTTTAATTGGCCAGGAAATAAAAGGAAGGGAAGGTTCTACTTGTTTATTAAAAGGCTTAAAAGAAGGAAAATAACAACAAACAAAAAGGTTTTGGTTTACACTCTTATTTTCGGTCCTGGGCTAAAATAAGAGTAGAAAGAACTTTATTTTGGATATCAAAAGGAAATAAAATACTTTTGGATATTTGGGGTTGAGTTGGACGGAAAGAGGATTGGCCAGCGGAACCCCGAGGTCAAAAACGAAAGTTATTTGGCCTTCCGGATTAAAGGACTTTGAATTCTTACTAAAATGGATCATAATGTTTGAACCTAAGTCCTTTGGTTCCCATGGGAGTGTGGGACATGGGGGAGGGTAGGATAGGGCCGGGCCCAGATATAACATGCATGTTGCACTTTTGTTATTGTTTAATACTCTCTTCATCCGGATTTAGTTTTCAATTTTCTAAGATTATAATTTTTATTTTTTTACTAAAGGAGTTTTAAAATGTCATATTCCTCCTTAAAATTAGTTTGCTGTTCAACTTTGTCTAGATTTAAAGTGCATAACATTATTCAGTGTAGTCTCTCTTGGAGATAGTTGAAAAAGAAAACATGGCCTGGTTGCGAAAGAGGAATTTTAAAATTATGTAAGAATTAAAAGAGTAGTTCACATGATGATCAGATAATTTATTCCATTAAAATGTCGGTGGCTGGAATGTTCACTAGAGCCCAAATGCTAATCTTTATTTTTCATCGCATGTATCGTTTAGTTACATGAAATGCACACTCAAATATGAAATAGTATTGGCCTAGTGATCTGATTGATTTGAGTTAGTTTATTCATTGCTTATCATTGGTCTCTTTTTGCCCTAGAATTTTTATAGAAGTGTTTCATGTTGCTACTCTTTTTGTAGGTGACTGTGCTTTTAAAGGAGTGCCGTGATATACAACTCCGTTGTGGATCTGTGGAGCAAAATGCTGTCCCTGACATGATCATTGGTGAAAGTGATTTTGATCAGGATGAGAATCTGGTATGCCAGATGTAATATCTATGCCAGCTGTTATTCCGTTCAAAAGTTTATATTCATATGTCATATGTTTCTTTATTCATATGCAATTGGATTCCAGTTGAGCTTCAAGGATATAAGTGGCCTAGTTGAACAAAATGCCCAGTTGAGGAGTCTTGTTCGCAACCTTACTTCTCAGATTGAAACCAGAGAATTAGAGTGGAAGGTGTTTAAAATCTTGTTCAATGCTCTTACATATATGAAATGTAACGTGCTTCTGTTAACACGTTTATCATATTCTGTTCAAATGTTATTATAAAATCTTAGGGTAAGTTTGAAAGAGAGCTTCAGAGACAAATTGATGATGCTACCTCAAAAGTGAATGCTGTTTTAGCAAGAGCTAATGAGCAAGGACATATGATTGAGTCACTTCACACATCTGTAAGCTTGTTAAGTGATTAAAGTTGCATAAGTAACATTTTTGTAGCATTTCTTACTTTTATTTGTCAGTTGACATGTTTGTTTCTTCTAATGCTTCCTTATAAAATAGGTTGCAATGTACAAGAAGTTATATGAAGAGGAACACAGGCTTCATACTTCTGAAAGATCTCCTCCACATTTGGCAGGTTTCTCCTTTTAATCTGCCTGGTTATACATAGCATTTTAGAATCTGTCTCAGTAGATTTTCTTATGAAAGATAGTCTCATTCTTTTATTATCTTGTCTTATTTATTGTAGATTATCAGCGGGCAGAACCAATGGTTTTAACTGAACGCTCTCAGGCATGTGGTATTCTGTATGCGTTTTAGTTTGCTCCTTACCCGTACCAATGTTAAAATTTTGTATATTAAAAGTTTTGGAAAGCCACAGCGTGAATCGTCTCATCTGAAGATGTAAGTTTGCAGGGAGTTCCGCTGATGGCAAATGAGCAGAAACTAGAGCGCCTTAAGTGCATTGAAGATGAACTAGTTAAATTACGGTATACTGTATTCTTCTTTATATTATTTTAATCACATTGTGCATGATAAATAGTATTCTACCCTGCCATTTTGACTTGAGCTTAGATTCTTTTAACCACATGATATATTTTATTATTTTAACAAGTAATTTGCGTTTATTAGGAGTGAGGTCATTTCAGTACGTTCTGAGCGTGATAAGTCAGCTTTAGAAGCCCAATTTGCGCAGGAGAAGCTTGATAGATTTCTGAAAGACTATGAACACATGGTTAGATCATTTCTCTCGATGTATTTCGAATGTATTTCTACTTCTAATGATTTGACTGTGCTGTTTTATGAGTAGTGATTGAAATGCTGTTTTTGAAAATAGAAACATTATCAAGTTAACATGTTTTGTTTGTCAGAGAGAGGAACACAATGCTCTCATTGTAAGAAATGTAGAGTTCTCTCAACTGATTGTGGATTACCAGAAGAAGCTGCGGGACAGCTCTGAGTCATGTATAGCTGCTGAGGAACTCTCAAGGAAATTAAACATGGAGGTGGGATTTATAAATATTTCGCTGGAAACGTTGTAGTGGTACGTTATCATTGTTATTATTATTATTATTATCATCATTATCATTATTGTTATTGTCTACTTCACAGATTTCAATTCTGAAGCACGAGAAGGAAGTTTTTCTTAGTTCTGAAAAGAGAGCATCTGATGAAGTACGTAGTTTATCAGAGAGGGTTCACAGATTGCAGGTTCTTTTTGTTTTCCTCCATTATCATTAATCATTATTTCTTGATTACGTATTGTTCTTTTTTGGGGAATGGGGGGTTGGTGGATATAGTGGGCTTTGCAACTTAATGTGCTTCTACGCAGGCCTGTTTAGATACTATTCAAAGCACTGAGGAAGTCCGCGAGGTTATCTTTTGATTGGATATGCTTTTGCAGATGTTTTCATTCGACAAATTCTAATTTTATGAAACCAGTTACCTATTTTTTCTTTGGCAGGAGGCTAGGGGGGCTGAGAGGAGAAAACAAGAAGAATATATCAAGCACATCGAGGTATTCTAATTTCAGGAATATTAAGGAATATGAAGTTTGACATGAGTAATATAAGTGAAATTAAAGCCGAAAAGGACTGGCAATAACTTAGGAAAATGTGTTCACTTTAGCTGTCTTGTGTGTGCTAAAGTTTTTGTTCGTGCGATAAATCAGGAAAATGCATTAAGTTTTTGGAGAAGTGAACTTCTGTAGTTTTTTACTTATCTCTTATGATATTATTTTATTCGTGAAATGGTGCAAATAATGCAGAAAGAATGGGCTGAAGCTAAGAAAGAGTTGCAAGATGAGCGTAACAATGTACGTAATCTTACACTTGAGCGAGAAAATGATTTAAAAAGTGCTTTGAGGCAAATTGAAGAAACAGGGAAGGAGTTGGCAACTGCTTTGCATTCTCTAGCTGTTGTTGAGTCTAGGGCTGCTGTTGCAGAGGTGAATCTGTTGATGCCTAATCTTGCATTCCTATTATTCATTCTAGTTCATTTTAATTTTTTTTTTGTTAATCTTGCATTTTCTGCTGTTCACCACACACATTTTTTGGGTCATGATATGCACTTTCAGGCACGTGCAGTTGATTTGGAAGAAAGATTGAGATCTTCACATACCAAGGTAGCTCTAATACTGAACTCAAGTTCTTGTGTTGCTGTCCAAATCTCTTTCATTGAGAATGAGATGACCAGATTCAACTTTCTATCCTTTTTGTTTGTATGATAATACATTTAGTCATCTACTCACATTTTGCCTCCGCTAGTCTGCTGCGCTTCCTATTTATTGACTTATTGTCATGTTTACAGAGGCTTTACATGTCAGTCATGGAGCATCGTTATTTTCAATAATAAATTTTTAAAGATATTATCATGGATAAGATGTTGCTAGGAATTCGGGATGTTTACTACAATTGTTTCTTTCTATCTGTACCTCATTAAACATTCTGGTTTTTGTGTAATTAGGATTGAGGCCTGCAACCTTTTTGGACAGACTGCATTTTTTCATTCATTTTATATGCAGCCTTATTTAGCATTTTGCTCTATGGGACATGTTTTGTTTTGCAGGTCTCTGATAATGATGATGAAACTGGTCCTTCCTCTTCCAGTGAGGTAGCCACCGACTGCGTGACTGAGGTTCTTTAGATATCTCTTCGAGTTAGGCCTACAACAACATTACCCCAGTCCCCCAAAGGCTCCTGCTCATCGCGGTGGGGGGGGCATCAGATGCATGCAACCTGACCCTATGTTTAAAACATTGAGTGATCATTTCCATAAGCGTAGCAACTTGCATCGATTAATTGCTACTTCACTTTTAAAAGAAGTGCATATGTCTTAATGAGCCATTTTTCTTTATTACATCATACCCCAAAGCCAAAACAGTAATGAATCTTTGGCTCCATGGGAGATGATGGAAACTTTGTGTCTTTTTGAGTCAGGCCTAGTTTGGTATGATGGAAGGATTCGGGGTAGAAAGTCTCACATGACTCCAGCTCCAAGTATATGCAATTACATTCCTTTATATTCTAAATTACCAACATATTCTTTTTAAATTCATAGGAAAACATTCTTATTTCATAGTTTTTCAATTTTTATCTTAAAGAACAGTGAATCTACTCTTGTCTGTTGTGTATGGATCTAAAATAGTCGCAACTGACAATTTTTAGCTTTGGGTAAATAATTGACTAGATCACTGTGGCAAATTAAACTTCCTTTGCTTACTTTCGCTGTAGTTTTGGCATATGTGTAGTACATGCATCAATGCACCAAGGGTCTAACTGAAACAATCCCTCTATATTTTACCAAACCAACAACAATCCCTTTTATTTTCAGATTTTTGCGGACCTGCGTGCTGCAGAAGAGGAAATTAAAAATTTGAGAGAAGAAGTACAGGGCTGCAAGGAACATATGCTCCAGGTATGTGTCTGTATTATTGACATAGCTTTTGCATTATTCTGTTGCTTAAATTTCTGCTTCTGCAGTACAAAAAAATAGCTAACGCAAATGAAGATGCACTGAAGCAGATGGAACTTGTTCATGAGAACTTCAAAGTTGAGGTATGCTGCTATCGTTCCATGTAAAAATGAGAAGTGTTGTGTATACAAAACAATAAAAACAAAAAAAAAATGTGTTCCCATGAGATCCTTAAGAACAATTTCACGTTCCAACTGTTTCACCAAGAGAATTTTATAAGATCTCTCTGTTAAAATAATGAAATTTAACCGTCAAAATATTTTTATGAAAAATTACCTTAGAATATACAAGTTTTGTCAAAATGCTCGTTTTAAAAATATGTCAACTAAAAAACATCAGTTCACGTTTTACCATTTTGACTAGAAAAGCATCAGTTAAAATATTCCATCTGATATTCGTTGAGTTTAGTTGAAGTATAATGTGTCTATGTGTGTATTCATGTTTTAGCCGATCTTCCCTAGAGTCGTATGAGTAGCACACGTATACCTCAGGACACTCATGACTCATCCAGCCTTCCTGAATTTGTTTCATTGTGTCATCTTTTCTTCAGGCTGATAATGCGAAGAAATGTCTCGAGGAGGAAGTTTTCTTGCTTCGCAAGCAGGTGAAGGATTTTGAAGATGAATGTAATTTGATGGCTAAGGAGGCCACTTCTGCAAAAGCTGGAAAAGATGAGGAACTTGAATCTGCCTCTTCTGAGATTGCCCGTATTAAAGAAGATTGCGCTATGAAGACGTGAGTACCTTGTGTTTTTTTCATTTCAATTTAACTAGGTTTCCGTGTAAGCCTTCATTCTGTTGTTTTGGCAGATCACAAATTGAAACACTAGATATGCATATATCCTCATTGAAAGATGACTTGAAGAAAGAGCGCCAAAGGCGGGAGGCTGCTCAAGCTAATTATGAAAGACAGGTTTACTCTGACAGTACTTGTTATATACTGATAGATACAGACAGTACACTCCTACTTTCTGTACGTGATTGCTTCTCTGACAGAATATTTATTTTAGGTTATTCTGCAGTCAGAAACAATTCAAGAGTTGACTAGAACGTCTCAAGCATTAACCTCGCTGCAAGAAGAATTGTCTGAGCTACGCAAGATGTCAGATGTGCTAAAAAATGAAAATGTAAACCCTTCCCTTATATTATGTTCTTGCTGTAGGGATTATTTTGATTACCCATTTTTTCATGGTTTATTGTCAGATAGCTAATATTCTCCCATACGGTGGCATTATAGATTGTCATTCTTCGCAAATACCATATTCTTGCTAACAATAAATTTCAACTTCATTTGGGTTTTAGCCAAGGCATTGTCATGTCGGCCATGTTTACACCACTTGTTTCTTGTGTCCAGTTTATTGTATTTGATGGCTTGGTCTGTATACTCAAGCAGGTTGAACTGAAGGCAAGGTGGGAGGCAGAAAAGTCAGTGTTAGAAGAGTTAAAAAGTCAAGCTGATCTGAAATATAGTGAGGTCAATGAACAGGTTAGTAGTGCTCTGGCATTTAATGTCTTATCTAGTGGTCCTAGTTAGAATCATAGATCTTGTTAATATTCTGTGTTTATTGAATCAGTTTTTATCCAATGCTAGTGTAAGGTCATGTTTGTAATTGGATGTTTACAGTATAGATTATGCTTTGTGCTAGATCAGGTTCTATGTGGCTATATTAATACATGTATATGCCATTCTTGATATTATCTAATTTTTTTATGGACATATGTCAATGTTAGTAGCTAGGCATACAGTGCTACAGGTTTGTCCTCTCATAATAGTTATTTTGTTTGATAGACAAGCAAACTTATCTCGTCATTACCTGTTGTAGATTGTTGATATACTAATTCCAAAGTCTTTCCACCTTTGGGAAGTTATTTAATATTCTTTGTGGTTCATTTTATCAGTATAGTTTTTCAGTTATTGACATTGCTTATTCTGCAGAACAAAATATTGTTGAGTCAGCTTGAGGCTATGCATATCAAGCAGGCTGAAAAGGATCGAATTTCAACTGGAATAAATTTTGGAATCACCAGTGCAGCAAGTGACGATGGCTTACATAATGTTGTGACCTATTTAAGGAGATCAAAGGAAATTGTATGTTTACTTTTGCACTTCTTTTAAATTGTAAATATTTTGAAACACTTCCTCACTTCGTTATCTACAGGCAGAAACAGAAATTTCTTTGCTGAGACAGGAAAAACTTCGCCTGCAATCTCAGGTTTTGTGCTCTCATTGTTTCATTTTATTTGATGGTTTTAGCACATACTTGTTGCTGACTTGATATTGCAGAGAGATAAATGTTTTATGATATTTACATTTCAATTTTCAGCTTAATAGTGCTCTTAAGACCGTAGAAACAGCTGAAGCATCATATCGTGCTGAAAAGGAAAATGCAAAAGCTCTAGTATATAGAGAAGATGAATTTAAAGGCCTACAGCTTCAGGTTTCTACTTCGTTTTTGGTCTATTCCTCTTTTATATCCCTATTTTTTTGTATTGATATATTCTTATTCATTTTTTAGAGTTCAATTAGTTGTGTGAAAATATTGGAGAATAATTTGTTGTTAGTCAATACTCTGAAAGGTGTAACTTATAAGTCACACTCCCTCCGTCCACAAATTTTTTCCCGTTCACTATTCACCAGGTCAAACTTTATTCACATGGTTTCTTATTTTTGTTGCCCATTTGATAAAACAATGTAGTCATGTCACCTCTAGTTTTGTAGATCTTTTGATGTAGTTTGTAAACATATAATTTTTTTAATTCCTCCCCAATTTTCATATAATATCAATTGACATCAATGAAACATCATAACACATAAAGGAATTTTTTTGGACCAAGGGACTATGCACATAGCTTTATTCTTCGTATACATAAATCCAGATCTTGGACTCCTAAGAGAGTAGGATAGCTTTGACAAAGCTACATGATATGCTAATCTCTCATTCTAATTAGCTTCTGTGTTCAATTCTCTCTTGGGGTCCGTTTGAAAGGGCAGAAAAGGGAAATTGCAACCAAAAAACAGATTTTGACTTCTGGAATAATATTCAAAGTCATTCACTTTTCGCATTCTTCTCTGTTCCTCTTGCTTGTCTTCTCCATCGCTGAAGGCTACATCTCCTAACTCCACATTGCCATCACATTCCATCTCCATCATTGCTGTCTCCATTGCATCAATTTGGGATGCACAAGGCTGGGTAAGCGTTGTGATGCAGTGACCTGGAATGGTGGATGCAACAATGCTTAAAGATTGGGGATTGAACAATGATTTCGATGAAGATTGGAGATGCTTTGAGATGCTGAATGGTTTTGCACTTGAAGATTGGGGTGCCTTTTTTCATTTTCTTGTTCTCATTTTCCTAAAATTCCAAACAAAAATATATTATATTCTGACCAAACACTAGAAAAAGGAAAATGACTTCAAAAAAATAACTCATTTTCTAAGAGTCATTTTCCTGAAGTTATTTTCCACTTTCCGAACAGACCCTTGACGTACTGGATTTGGAGCAATGCACAATGCAATGAATACATAATGCTGCATGGGACTCTCCAATACATAATCCCTTACAATGATGTATCGATCTACCATCCTATTGTTGTTCTATATTATAATCATCCATGTACAAATGCCCTATACTTTCTTGGGCAGAGTGAAAATAACCTTCCAATTTGGCTTTTTCTGAGATATTTGGAGAATTGGAGCATTGTAATGCTTTGGTGAAATAGTGTTAGTTTTATATCTTCCAATATTTTTCTCATGTCCTAAATTCCTACTCTTGTGGTATTCAATTGGGCTGTATTGCATGTCCTAATTATAAAAAGTCATGTTTTAGGTGAGAGAGTTGACCTTGCTTCGCGAAAGTAATGTGCAATTAAGGGAAGAGAACAAGCATAACTTTGAAGAGTGTCAGGTTTGGATGTACTAAACTGATTGAGATATATTCATTGAGGTGTATTCATAGATTGTTGATGCATGATTATATAGAACATGTGCTAGTATATGATTAGCTTATTAGTTAGTTATCCTATTACTCCATCTTTTGGGTCTTTCCATATGTTTCTTCCTATTTTGGCTGGATACAGGGTTTAATGTAAGATGAGAAGTTGTTTGTCATTCTTATTTTGCCTTTGTTAGAGTATTTGACCTAAGAAAAATGTTTAAAAAGGTTAATAGTGTAAATGGTGAACAGTGTAAATTAGGAGAGAAAGGCATATTTTCTTCAATTTATTCTCATTACTTATTACTTATTAGATCGGATAAAGAGTACAAGCTCTAAGTAGGTTAGATGGGCAAATAGGATGGTAGATTAGGATAAGTGTGGTGAAGTACCATATTATATGAGGCAGTAGCGAGTAGTGGCTTAAGGGTAAAAATGTCAACTTGGTGTTATTTATTTTCCAAATAAGGAAAGATGAAGAAAGATATGGGACTACCCAAAAATAAAAATTGGAAGGAAGATATGGGACTCACCAAAAATAAAAATTGGAAGAAAGAAACGGGAGTGCCCAAAAATAAAAATTGGAAGAAAAATATGGGACGGAGGGGGGGTATATTTAAGATATAAAATGGTGATATATTTAATTGTAGAATAATTTTATTCATGGTTAATTGATTAACAATGTAGAGAAAAACTTTTTCATTCTTTTGTAACTAAATGGAATCTGTGTTTTACCAAAAACTGGCTTTAGTCGACAAACCACAAAAGTTAGTTATATTCCCAACATTTTTAAAATTAACCCCAAACACCCTTGTTACTTTATTTTAAGACAAATCACTTTTTAAACTTGAGTTTTGTTTACTATAGAAACTACGGGAAGCTGCCCAGAAATATAGGTCTGAGGTAAATGATCTCAAGAAGTTTCTCAAGGAAAGAGAACAAGATGTTGAAGCTTTGAGGAAGGCAGCTGACTTCGAAATAACTGAGAAACATCATCTTCAGAGTAGAATCGATGAGGCACCTTATTCCTCTCTTCCTTCCACCCCACATTTCTGTTGGGCTCTTATTTGTTTTTGGTTTTGACATCAACTATTTTTGCAGTTGGTTGAGAGGTGCAAGAGTGTTGATGTGGATGATTACAATCGTACTAAGGAAGCTATTCATCATATGCAGGTGAAAGTGCATTTAGTAGTCCATGCAATATATGAGTGATGAGATCTGTTAGGTTAGGTAAACACCCTTGATGTTTCCTTTGGTGTGCATTGTTATGTATTCTTGACCCCGGGATGCGACAACGGAAACTATGCTCAGATCAAAAAAGGATAAGCAAGACCAGGGATTATTGTCTAAACATTTTAATCCTTTTTGGGTTGAGTTCAACCATTATCCTAATTTGAAAGCCCAAGCCTAACCCCTTTTCTGCCCAATCCTTACCTAGCCTGAAACAAGGAGCTAAAACCCCTTTCCCAAATTTCCCAAAGTCTTTTGTTATTGTGTGTTGATATAAGATAAAGTCATACGTACATATTTTTACCCTTTTGGATAAAATAGAAAGAAAAAAAAAAGACTAGTGAAGTCTTAATTCCTCAAGTGTCCCATTTAGTTAATAATTTTATTGTCTTTCCTACGCCTTTGAACGAATATATCCATCCCAAATAGCTTCAAAATGTTGACTTTATATCCATAAATCATTCACTAAAACTCCTGCCCAAAATGTTATAGAAAACATCATAAAACATCCATTTTGACTTTCGGGTACCATTGTTTTCTTGCTCCCTTTAAATGTCACTTTCATTTAATCCTTAATATAAAGTCAACATCACTAAACCATTCTCACCATAGTCTAACCTAATTCATTTAAAAAAGGTGATAAAACATGATCAAATTCACCCAGGGACACATGGAAACGTCTCTTCTTAATTGGTGGCAGTTTGTCTCTTTATATGTGTCTAGCATGTGGGGCCATGTGAATGCAGCCATCTTCTCTCCTGTTTTTCATCACTAAATGATAGGCCATGATCCCCATGTGAAGAATCCATGTGTGGTGTGTAAAGGGCCTCTATTTTTAAGCTAAATTTCAGTTTGTCTCCACATTACCTTTTTTGTCTCTTGCTTTAGCCTATATTTGTTCAGCCATTTGGCCGTTGTAAAACACAATTTGAGATTCTGAATTTTAGAGATATATTTCTGAATATCAAGTTGCTAAAATAGTGTGATACTCCCTCCGTTTCTTAAAACCCTTCCTCTTTCATTTTTTTTGTTTTTCTTAAAACACTTCCCTTTTCTATTAAAAAACCACTTTTACCCCTACTTTTTCATACCCTACCTATCACATCATACTTTTTCACTAACAACTAAACTATCACATCTTACTTTTACCCAACACATCAAGGGCAAAATTGGAAAGTCAACTACAATTTAACACTTCCTTATTTTTCTCCAAAGTCAAAAGAGGAACTTTTTTGAGAAACGGAGGGAGTACTATTTAATCTTAACTCATATTTGATTACTTATATTTTAAGAGTGGATCTCTGAGCTGTGAGTTTTAGGTTCTAGCTATATCAAATAAGTGTGTAATATCATATTTAATCATATTTGATTAAATCTGAGTTAAGAAATGAGTGTGTGATATCTCTAAAACTAACTTGACAAATACTTCTTTCCCTCTCTTAATATCTCAATCAATACTTCTCCTCTTCTCTTCTACCTCATCTCACTACTGCTCTCCTTTCCGCTCCCACTCTTTCACAGGCTTCCCCTTTCTCCCTTATATTCTCAAACAAGAATTCCCTTCCCTTCTCTTCATCTCACCGCCCTTCCCTCTCTCTATCTCTGCGGAAACTCAACTCTTTCGCCTCTTTTCTTCTCTAAGAAACTCCTTCAATCATCCCCTGCCCCAATCTCTCTCATGCAGCCTTACCCTCCGGGCCCTCCCCTTATCATCCTTGAGCGTGGGTACAACATGTTTGCAAGGCATCTAGTTCTCCAGTATCAATTCTTGTTAGATTTTTGTGTGTGTGTGGATGAATAGTAAATATGACGTGCAGAATGCATAAAATTATAATATTTACAAAGCGGACCCCAACCCTTTAAGGGCCAAGCTCTAGTCTCTGAACAGATATCACTACATTCTATTATCTATTTTTATACATTCTATCACATGATCACATGGTACCGGGGCTTCTTTCATACACCTATCTCTGTATTTTTTCTTGCCAAAACTTTTTGCCATTTGTTTTCCCTTTTGTCCCAACCGTAGTCTGCTGCACTTCTATTTTTTCTGGTGGTCATATCAACAAAGTGCCACCGACATCACAATCAGAACTCTCTAACCATCTCAGAGCTCAAATTTGTCGCCATCAGCAGTCACACATAACAATAGGTGTTGCCTGCCAAACTACTGTTCCTTGTTTTTGGCCATATACTTGGTTTCCTCACCTCCATATCTGGAGGTCTCTGTCTAACACCACATAGACCAAGTGCTGCCGCCATATGTCCTTCACAGATTTTCAAGAATTTGTATTTTATATTTAGGGCTTTGTCATGATCCACATTCAAGCACTATGTTGTCAGCAGCACCAACTGCTCGTCATGGTCAACTTCTGTGTAATGGAATGCAATTCAAAGGTCAAGTAGTCTATGTGCTTTTAACAGAGAAGGTAGCTTTTCGTGACAGTGTGCAGTCCTGAACGCTTTGACATCTTCCATCCAATCTCCACTTGTCTATGTCTTTACCTATGGTGAGTTAAGGTAACTGTTTTACAGCCCCAGCCAAAGGAATTGGGCATTCTTTATCCCTTCCACCTCATTCACTTGAGTTGGTCTTTTTTGTGCAAATTCCTTTTAATCTTATATCTGTGAGTCTGTTCATCAGCTCTTTGAACTGTTTAATCTTTTCATATAATTCTGTAGCTTCTTCATGATGGGCTGATCGTAGTACCGGGAAGTCAATTGGCAAGTTGGCATCAGATTTAACTAGGGCCTCTATTGCCTGTCTTCTGGATTCTATTGTCCCATTGTGAATTATTTGGGTCATCCAAATTTCTTCTAGCTTCCATGAATAGTCCCTTAGCACAACTCTAATCTCAAAACAAGTAACCCGAATTAGCAATCCTATGCCCTTGATCATGTGTGTATAGGGTACTCTTGTATTCATTAAATACAAAAAACCCGGGGTATGGGGCTCGATGTATCATGTATGCATAATTTGTATTCCTTATATATCAATACAACCTACTGCTATTATCTTTCTCTTAACCACTCTTTTCCCATGACTTACTCTGGTTTCAATTAGGCAACTCTGAAGGAAAAGGATGATCAATTGGAGGAAATTAAGAAACTTGTGTCAAGGAAGCAAGAGTTGATAGCTGCACTAGAACAAGACCTTGCAAGGAACCGAGTTGAATTGAGTCAGAGGGAGTCTAGAATAAATGAGCTTTTGCAATCTGAGGTATTGATTTCAACTTTTGAGAGTTAGCGTCATTGAATGCCATGTTTTTGCAGTTTTTTTTATGTTTTTGGTTGTTTTTACATTTAGGCCTCTTTAAGATCTGAGTTCGATAAACTGAAGAGATCATCCCATGTACAAAAGGTAAAATTAGACCTTGCCAAATACTGATTTGAAACATCCTTCTATTGACTATAGTGCAGCAACCAATTTGGTTCCTGTCCTATTTCCAGTTTTACCTTTTTTTTTTCTTTTTCCTCTTGTTTCCAATGATCACTCTAATTGCAGAAGAGGTTAGAGAACCTAGTGAAGGAAAAAGAGGATCTGACCAAGGAGAATCAAGTTTTTTCCAAGAAATTAGAAGATGCTCTGCAAGGTCTTAGTTGTGCTTATCTGCATAGTTGCAAGATTGTGATATCTGTTCTTATTTTTTATTTTGTTTATAATTGTCGACAGGGAGAAGAAATGATGGAGAGGCTATGACTGAGCAAGCTTTAAAAGAGAAGGATAAGGAGAAAGACACCAGAATACAGGTATGCTTGGTGATTGGCCCTTTTATTATGATATTATTTGTTTTATATTTGCTTATATTTATGTTGCTAAATGTTTGTTCAAGATATTGGAGAAAACATTAGAAAGGCACAGGGAAGAGTTGAAGAAAGAAAAGGAGGAAAATAAGACAGAGAAAGTTAGGCGTATTAAGAATCAAAAGTTATGTGCAGAGTACTTGGATCATGTCAAGCAGGTAGGGCTTAGAAGTCAGCATTCTCAATCCCAAGTTTTTTTTCTTATTGCTCTATTGTCAAGTAGTACTATAATTGCATGCTTAAGAACTTAAGTAATTCCCACAGCAACAATCAAATATATCGGATGAACTGGAGAAGCATAAGCAGGCTCTTAAAATGTTGACAGAAGAGAAGAAACTACGGCAAGACAATAGTCAGTCTGAGGTAATGATGTCCTGATCTTTTTCAATTCCTTCAGTTATTTCTCCTTGTTTTCTTTATCGGTAGTAGTTGTCTTTCTTTAGCATACTACATCAGATGATCTTGGAACTCTCGGTTCTATGTTTGTGACTTTCTCCTCTTTTTCTTAGGGTGATACTTCAGTGGATCAGCTTCTTGCTGGAACCCGCTTACCAGACTTCACAGCTGCTTATATCCAGGCCGTTAATAATTTTGAAAGACTTGCCCAACCTATATGCATTGATGGCGGGGCTTCATCTGCTGCAGACATATCTTCAGGCCCAGTGAGCTCACAATTATCAATTGGTACAATATGTGTGTTTATGTGCTTTCAGTTGTTTAAGGTCTTCCAGTTTAGGAATGGTGTAATCTAAAATAAATAAATAAATTTCAGGTCCTGTGGTGGAATCCGATGTGCCAAGTACCAATATGTCAACTCTATCTACCTTGGCAAAAACAGAAGATGATAGAGGGAAAAGGTCGATATTGTCAAAGTTTAGTAACCCCGAATCGCGTAAAGCAGGGGTTAGGAAACTGGTCCGTCCCCGTATCGTGAAATCTGAAGAACCTCATCATAACGATGATATAGAGATGGCGGAAGCAGTGGGTGCAAGTGAAAAACAGATGGCTTCTCATACTGCGGAAACTCAAGACAATCCAATCGTGGTGCCTTCTCAGCTATCTGCTCGCAAGCGCCCATCAGCTACATCTACGGTGGAGCTACAGCAAGATGATACTCCAGCGGCTTCTGAAGAAGCAAGGGCTGATCCTATTCATCCGTTGTTCAAAAAGGCCAAGGGTCCAGATGTAATAAACGAGGAGGGTGGTGAAGCAAAATCTGCAGATAATATAGTTCCAGAGTCTGTCCCCTTCAATGAAGGAGATGCTGTTGTTGGAGATGTGACCCAAGGTTTGGAGGAGGAGGGTGACAAGAAGGACGAGGCAGTGTCTACAGGACCAGGGGAGCAGCTTGGTGAAGAGATGGTTTCAGTGGATCAGGCAAACGTGGACAGGTGCGATGATATGGGAGAAGACATTCTGGACAGTAGCAGGCCTGATGAGGAAGATGTTGTCCAGGAAGATGAACATGTTCAGACACCGCAACAAGAAGATGTCATCGCCCATGGAGCAGAAACAGAATTTGGAGGTGAAAAGGAAGGGGATGCAGCTGATGTTGAGGATGTCAGTGTCTACTTGTCAATGGAAAGCCCAGATGTTGGCCAGTCAGAGCAACAAGTAGCAACACCTGAGAATGTAATTGGTGTTGACGAAGATCCCTTTACCGAAACTGGTGAGGTGGATGATGACAACGGAGGGGATGAACCCGGTGAGATTACAGACAAATTGGACTATGGTGGTAGTAGTGATCAGGCCATTGCAGAGTCTGATCCGGAACCGGAAACCACACCAGAAAAACTCCCTGCCAGCAGCACTAGCACCACCAGCAATCCTGTTTTGGCAGTGAAGGAAGAGAATAATCCTACAGGCGACCCAGAAGTTGACCCAGATGTGAAACCGGCAACAGTGGCTCCCAGAAGCTCAAGAACAATTAATATCGCGGAAAGAGCAAGAGAAAGGCAGAGGGAAAGAACAGCACAACCGTCTTCAAATCCGGCGCGTGCATCGCCTTCGCTCCGGTCCCGCGCTAGAGCAGCTCGAGTCCGTGGTAGTCGTGGTGGGCGTGGACCCACGTCCGGTTGAACTCACATTACCAATGGTGATGGTTGAGTTGTGTTTGGGATGAATCTGTGCCGCAATGTGAGAAGAGCTTGATGAATTTAATGGTGGCTCATAATCCTGGGATTGCAAATACTTTTTCTTGATCATTTGTTATTCACTCCACTCTTTTGTGAGGTGTTCTGAAAAGTTGATGTTTACTCTCTTTGCTTATTTTTGTTACTTTTATGATTAAATAATATACTCCGTAGTAACATGGTCCCAAACCTTCACTGTGTGGCTAACATTGATTTAATATTTAAATAACATTGATTTAATATGTACTGTGTTTGTAATGTTTTAATTTCACACTATTTTACACATAAAATAATTTGAAAATAACTAACCTCAAATATCGTAACGCGCAACGAGAAGATAATATTTACACAGAGGGAAAATATTATTTCCATTCATCCTAAATTATAGTACTTGTTCACTAATTACATACTCAAATTGTATTCACTTTTTTGTTCATTATTGCCTCATTTTTATAGATTTTTTGAATACATATGTACATCTTAATTTTTGATTTCAACAGAATTCTCAAATAAAACAATTTGAAAACAATTTAGTCAAATATTAAAACTGATACAGACTAAAAAAAATGAGATGGTGGGAGCAACTCTTATCTTATCTAAATTTTTTATATTAATATCAGCCTACTCTCATTGTAGAGAAATTCTTCCAATTTCATTTTTTGGATTAGTTTTTTTTGGTTCGATTCCCTCTCTTCTCTTCGCAACTGAGAGCCTCAGTCATCATCTGTTATTTCTTCTTATCCTCTTCTATTCTTCTTCTTCTTCCTCTTCTCTTTCTTCTTCTTCTCCTCCTCCTCCTCCTCCTCGTTTACTTCTCTCCCTCTCCCTTCATCTCCAATTTTTGAAGTGCTTCCCTGACAAAATATAAATCCACAATCAATTTCAAACAAAAATCAGGACAGCTAAAAAAAATCACCTAAAATAAGACTAAAACAAAAAGAAAGTGACAAAATAGAAGTTTCATGTTTTTATGCCGTAAATAGAAGTTTGTACTGTGCTAATATGGCACTGCACATGTGTATTTTACGTAATGTACGTGGTAATGAATGGTAATGAACTTTAACTCCTATATATTTCGGGAATAAAAACATGAAACTCCTATTTCAGTATATTTTCAATTTTTACTCCTACTTTAGTCTTATTCCCTTTCACAATAGGTTTCGAAATCAGCCAAATTTATATTGTTTGTGACACTAACACATCTCAAAGCAGAGAAGAATAAGAATTAAATTCCATCCACACACTAAATACGCATAATCTCAAAAGGACACATGCATAATACATGGATGGTCCATTGCATTAGTAGTCCCCATAAGGCTGACTATACATACATACAACACACTCAGTCAATGCATACCTCAAACCAGCCTCCAGCCTGTTGTTGTGTGGATTCCCTCTTCATGAACTGCGATATCATCTTACCGCTAATAGCACTGCTCCCAAATTAAACAAATTGGCAAAACCATTACAAATGATGTTTTTGAAATGCCTTGGCTTTCGTGTGAGCAATATATGACACGTACTCAATCAAGCACCTAGAGAATACAAAACAAAAAAAGAGAAGGAAAAAAAAGAACTTACACAGCATGTAAAGTGTACCCACGAGCACCCCTGGCCTTGTACACCCTGGTGGAAACATTTACGGCGTGTGGCTTTTCATCATCACCCTCCACACACACATTAAATACGGTACAGTAAATAAGCTTGGTGGGAGGGCGCATCTCAGCCCAAAGAATACAGAGACGTCCTTCGCCTATGACCAACAACTTTGAAGGGGGGTGTACCACTTCAATATCTGAATATACACGTTGTCTATAGCCCACTGGCAAAGCATTGTCTATGTTGCCCAAACCAAGCACTGGAGTTTCGTACCCTTTATCGGCAGAAAAAGGGTTGATGTAGGCCATAAGAGGTAAAACACATTGCCACTCATCCTTGATCAAACAGTAAAACACATCCCCAAGACTCACAGCTTCGCAGTCATACAGCTCCTCGAAAATTTGGTGCACCTTCTTAGACACATTGAATTCATTGCGTTCAAAATCATAGGAAATCCAGCACCCCAGTGTAATAAATATCAACGCACGCCTAGCATGGTGCTTGGTTTTACCGGTAGCCGAATCAGTAGTAGTTGCATACTCAAGTTTGAATGCCTGAACTTGGTTCGAGCAGTGGTTTGAGAGTTCAATACTATCAATGGGAATATTGGAATATATGGACTGCCAGCCTTGGTTCAATTCATGGCGGCAATCAAGACACCTCAAATCAAATGAGAGATCCTTTGGATCACCATATGAGCCACCCCAGAAATATGAGCGGCCAAGGATTCCCAATCCATAAATCTTGTCATTGGCGTGAAAGAAATAGTAACCGTTGGTGTCTCCATGCAGGCGCGGAGCTTCCATCCATCCGTCCTTGCTCTTATTTCGTGTATCGCGATAAAACACAGACCGCGAGGGCATCTCTTCATCGTTGGTCTTCTCTACCTTATGGATGATGAAGATATAAGGCCCTACCGCAATTGGAGGAGTATCATGATAGGTAACGGCTCGACCTGGCTCCTTAAAGATGGGACGGATGAATCTGTCTGTACTAAGAGGCATATGCCATGTTCGAATAGAAAACCAGTTATCTTGAGCTTCATCTGCAGAGTCGTAAGAGATTCCGGAACGCAGACAAAAATAGATTGTGGCATCTTCAGCTTTAGATTTTGCACCATTATCATCATTGTTCAACTCAAAATTGGATGCAGCTGCTTTACGTGATGCACACATTGCTCTTCTGGCATTTCCTACAATAATTGACAAGTACATACCCACTATTCAATTCAATTCAATCATTTAACAGATGAGCTATTTTTTAAAAAAGGAACCAATTTGATCTACAAACTCTCTACTAGCTGCCTCTTGAAAATTGATTAAAGTCTATATTTTACACTACATTCTTGGAATGGAATTAAAAATTTTAACAGCCAAAGTACTATTGGTTAACTAACCATTTTTTCCAAATTCTCTTGGAGATGCTTTTAGTTGTACTGGGCATTTCATATGAGTAAAACAAATCATAAGTGTGACACTTGATAGAGAAATTTATCCAAACAGTATTTCAAAATAATAAAAAAAAAGAGTAGAGAATGAGATGTGTTTAAAACGATACCAAAACCATGCAAAACAGATTGAAAATTGGGAAAGTTGAGTGGCGTTTGGATGTACCACAAGTGAAGTCAATTAAATGCATTTTAAGTTCAGAATATCATGGGATGAACACCAACAACTCTATAATAGCTAATGCAATAGTGGACAAAAAGGTTGAGTATGTCCGTATGGTCCCCTCTGGCCTGGCCTGGACAATTTTACTCGAAAGAAAGAAGATAAATGAAGCTCCCAAGTGAGCTAGCAAATTCACTTGGAATCATGAATCCATATACATACCCGAATAACCTGATGGTGATGATGTTCCCCTGGTACGTATGATGGGTCGTGGCTGACTGGAGGAAGTTAAAGATGATAGCACTTGCCTTAAGCCATCATTAATGTAGGCTACTTCTCCTACCAACTGAATTCCCTTTCCATGTAGACTCATAATAGTGCCATCTTGGGCCGAGGAATCTTCTATATCAATATCCATTCCTAAATATATACAACATCAGACGTAGCATGACAAGAACCAAGAGAAATTAATTAATTAATAATGTGACCCACCATTTTATACATATATAATATACATATAGCTCTTACAGATAGATGATTATTAAGTAACGAAATTAAGCAAAGAGAATATATAAGAGCTTACCTGATGTGGCCCTCCTGTGGAGGAGGGGGAGTTGAGGATTAGGGGGGCGAGTCAAGGTTAGAGATGAGAGGAGTTTGTGTAAGAGTTGTTTGCCGTGGGCTACAACTTCTTCTAATAACTGAGTAGTAGCAGTATGATTCTCATTCATATTTTCCATTCCTAATTATAATAATAATAATAATAATAATATATATATATATACACACACACACACACACACACTAGGGGTGGGTTCGGTTTTAACGGTTCGGTTTTTACCTAAAACCAAAGACAGAACGGAAGGCATTTTGGCGGTGCGGTTCGGTTCGGTTTTGTAAAAAAAAAGAGAAAACCAATCGTTATATGGTTCGGTTTTAGCGGTTTGAATTTCGGTTTTTTTTCAATTCTTTCGGTTTTTAGATAGAGACCTTTTATTATATAGATATGCCAAACAATTGGTAGAGAGTAAAGTTTGCAAACCTTCAAGTAAAACATTAAATAAACTACAATTACAAGCAAAAAAAATTTGGAGAAATGTAGTAATTTCCAGTAAAAAACTATAAAAATGCACTAGCTGCCAGAGAGTATGCTGGTTAATCAATATCTGCAATAAGTTAATCAATATCTGCAATAATTTGTTGATTTCAAGAATCATCAAGTTTTTTCAAGAATCAGTCCTTATCTGCAATAATTTGTTGATTTTATTTATTTTAACAGATTTCATTGTATGGATTAAATTAGGAATGCAGAGAAGCTTGTGGAGTCCAAGGCCTTAAAAGTGAGAATTGTATAGAACAAAGAAAACTTCTGTGCTCCTTCAAAAAAAATTCTGTGCAAATTCAAGCCGAAATTTGGGATTTATACAAAAAAAAAATTAAAGAACAAAGAAAACTTCTGCAAAATATGAGAGTTATACAAGAGAAAACTTCAATTCCTAGAATGATTTGATAAAAAAATTAAAGAACATATGATTTCATACCTTCTTGGTTAGATGCTTTGGACAAAAATTGAAGATTCTCGTCAATCTTGGACAAATATTAAAGAACTGGTGGCCTGCTTCAGTGCTATTAAAGAAGTTCCTAGTTAGACTGCTTCACTGCGATGGCGGATGCTGCACATCAAAGCGTTGGACTGCGTCTCAGCCGTCACTGCAATTCAAGACTTCGTCTGCCTGAGTCTGCGTCTCTGGCTCTCTGCGATTCTGAAGTCGGAACAGTCGCAAGTGTTGGACTGCGTCTCAGACTCTCAGCCGTCTCTGACTCTTAGGATTTCGGAGATTTGAGATTTGGAGGAGTATGACTATTGACCGTAAACCTAAAAGGTACGGAGTATAATAACTACTATTCGGTTTTTCACGGTTCGGTTCGGTTTTGAATACTCGAAACCGAAACCGAATTCAATCGGTTCGGTTCGGTTTTTTGAGTTCAGTTTTGGTTTTTACGATACGATTTTTTATTTGGAATTGTTCGATTGATTTTGGTTCGGTTTCGGTTTTCCGGACCCAGCCCTAATACACACACACTGCCAAAGAGGAATTGAGTGAATTGAATCCAATCCAATCGATGAATGAACTGAACTCTCTCTCCATCTTCAATCTCTCTCTCTCTCTCTGGTTTTGACGCAAGCTAAGCTAAGCTAAGGTAGGGTTTTGGTTGATTTCGTGAATGGGAAGCACCACCGGGAAGAATGAACGCAGGCATAGGCATAGGCATAGGCATGCATATATATATAAGTATGATGATGGTGGTGGTGAAGGTATTCCGTTTGCTTGTTGTGGGCCCGGCCATGGAGCATCCATGGGACCAGAAAGATGTGATCGCCATAATTTAAACCGTTCGATATCTGTATGAGATGAACTCCAAAACCATTCGATACTATTATGTTTTAAAACGGAACTGTACAATATCATACTCATGCTACGTGCCAAAAAAATGAATGTACATTATTCATAGAATATTGAATTTAATGTATAAATTTGTATTTAAAAAAACTTTGTTAAATAAAAGTATTAATTTCAAATTTAAATGGATCATAAACCTAAAGAATAAAATATAACGAGTCCAAAGTTAAAAAGTACGGAGTAATTTTTTTCCCAATTCATAATAAAAATATAATGCTAATAGTAATGATAAATATAATAACAACAATAATAATGAGAGAGTTTAAAAATGAATAATAAAATACAAAGTATTCTATATATATACGGTAAGATGAAGTAGACAAATACTCCAAAATAAACTTGTGTGGTGCAATTGAAGGGGGTGGGGAGGTGTGTTCGGGTCGGTGCCGGGGGTTAGGGGGGGTAGGAACCGTCAATTTTACGAACGGGGCACCGGAATGCCCCTGGATCATCCCATGACATTAAGATCCAATGTCACTTGAACCTTGGTGTAGTTTCAAACAAATCAATTTCACAACCATTTATCAAATGAATCTTGAATCAATTAAAGTGTTAAAAAATCACTTTCAAATATAAATTCACACCCACAGTCGATTTGAACCAGAGGTATAAACCAATGAGCAAAAGGCTTCATAATCTTCAGAGCTACGTACGGAGTATAAATGTTTGGTTTGAGGGAAGTCCAAGGACTATGTTGCCCGGAAATCGAGGATGAAGAGCTTCCCCGGCCACTTCCCTTCCCCCGACCACACAAGGTGAAGGGAAGCCTCCACATCCACTTCCCATTCCTTTCCATTCCCTCGCCTCCTTCAATCAAACACTCTTAACTGCTAACGTTGCGTTTCGTTCGCCTGATGATTTTTTTGATCTGGTCTGATTTGATGATATGATTGCAATTATAATTAAAAATGTTTCTAGTCTGATTTAATTATAATAAGAATAAGTAATAAGAAAGAAAAAAAATAAGTTGAACGGAATGATGTCCAAGTCTATATTAAAAAAATTCCAGCTGAGGCCGGGTTGTGGTTCAATTGATCTATATATGAAACATTGTGTTATTGTATTTTAATGAGAGTTATCTCGAGGCAAAGGGAACAAAAAACATTTAAAAAAAATACAGTAAAAATTAATATTTTTGAATTAATTGGAAAGGTGGAGTTTTCAAAGGCAGGCCTTCTTTTCCTGCAAGATTGTGGTTGAGCAATCAATTGCATGCATATTCTTCATTTCTCTCGCCACTCAAATGTTAAAAAAAGAAAACAAAAATAAATAAAAAATAAAAGTTTAATAAATAAAAGTTGAATAATTTCGTTTACATGTAACTTTTTGTCTCCTCCATCTCCAGCTCAAAATCCTTTCATCTATCCCCCTTCATCATATATTATTATTATGGTTGCCGATCGATGATTGATTTTTTGGCCGAAATTCAAGAATATACATATGTCTTAGCAAACTTCCATGTGAGTCTATGTAACATATCATACGTTGTTTGATACATTTGATATATATGCATATCCATAACAGACAGGTTTTCTGTATTGTGACGGATTATTACCAAGTTATATTAATTAATTCCACACCCATTTATATTGATTTATGTTTCAATCAAATCCATGTAGGTGTTAATAATTAAGTGCATCTCCCGTAGTATTATATGGATCCTATCATCATAGGCCATAATCACCAGCCGTATTTCATCATTAAATTTGATGGATGCATGACATTCAATTTTTTTTTCCCTTTCAAATGTTGCTATTGTCAAAATATATATACCAGCATTTGATTTACACTCAGTACTTTATATTCTCTCCGTTTGTGATAACCATCCCATTTTGATCAAAGTCAAAATTAAGGAATTGTTAAATTCTAGTTGTCTTCCCATTTTGTGTTTGATGTATAGGTAAATACTCCGTATTAGATATGATGAATTGATTATTAGAAAAAAATATGACATGATAAATAAGTTCTAAAAATGTGTGGTAAAGTGACCTTTTAAAAGTAATTGAAAGTATTTTGGTGAAATAAAAAAATGAAAGAGAAAATGTCTTTGAAAACTAAAAATTTAATGAATTCATTCTTATATCAATTGGTATACATACATTACAACTTTTACTCATTCGAGATTCAAAATTTGTCTAGTTTAACTAAAAAATTTGCAGTAAATAGGACTAAAACATAATGACTTTCCTAATATAGGACTTAAACTTTTTTATTCCCTAAATAGGACTTAATAATGACCTAGTGGAAGGAATAATGTCCAGTAATGATAGACATTTAGTTGAATAATGACTACTTGATAATGACCAAAGGTACTATATTGAGAAATAAAAACATATGGTCCTATATTGGGAAAGTCATTATGTTTTAGTCTTATTTAGCTAATTAAATTTCTCTTGTGCAAATTGGATGTACATGCAGATGGATAGAGTTGATGCCAGGGGAAGATAGCTGACGATGATGACAAGCAGCACCGGTGGAACCGGCAATGTCAAAGGTGGCGCCGCCGCCGCTCAATCATCGTCGTCGACGATGAAAGGTGGCAATAACAGTAACAATCCGCGGAGTGATAGCATGGAGAGCTCAAGTGCGGCGGCGGCGGCGGCTTTGAAGCCCCACACGGGCGGAGACGGTCGATGGGACGCCATCAACCTGGCGTCTTCAAAAGCCACCGCAACAGGCGGCCTGGGGCTCAACAACTTCCGGCTGCTGAAGAGGCTCGGCTACGGTGACATCGGAAGTGTCTACCTCGTCGAGCTCCGGCGGACCAACACCTTCTTCGCCATGAAAGTCATGGACAAAGGGTCCCTGGCCAGCCGGAACAAATTGATCCGGGCCCAAACCGAGAGGGAGATTCTGGGCCTCCTTGACCACCCTTTTTTGCCCACTTTATATTCCTACTTTGAGACCGAGAAATTTTACTGCCTTGTCATGGAGTTCTGCAGCGGCGGCAACCTCCACACCCTCCGGCAGAAGCAGCCCAACAAGCACTTCTCCGAGGAGGCTTCCCGGTTCTACGCCTCCGAGGTGCTTCTCGCCCTCGAGTACCTCCACATGCTTGGAATTGTGTACCGGGACCTCAAGCCGGAGAATGTGCTCGTGAGAGACGAGGGCCACATCATGCTCTCTGACTTCGACCTCTCCCTGCGGTGCTCGGTCAACCCCACGCTCGTCAAGTCGTCGTCCGTGCACGGTGGTGCCGTTGGCAATGCACCGCCCCAGGGGGGTGGGGGGATCCTGGACGACGAGATGCAGGGGTGCATCCAGCCGTCCACGTTCTTCCCCCGCAACATCCTCCCCACGAGCAGCAAGAAGAACAGCAAGTCCAAGTCGGACTTCGGGCTCCTTGTTGGTGGGGCCTTACCAGAGCTGATGGCAGAGCCGACAAACGTAAGGTCAATGTCGTTCGTCGGGACCCACGAGTACTTAGCCCCAGAGATCATTCGGGGAGAGGGACACGGAAGCGCCGTGGACTGGTGGACGTTCGGAATATTCCTCTACGAGCTTCTACATGGGACAACACCTTTCAAGGGGGCGGGAAACCGGGCCACCCTCTTCAATGTGGTGGGGCAGCCCTTAAGATTCCCTGAAAGTCCACAGGTTAGCACTGTGGCGAGGGATCTTATTAGGGGATTGCTCGTGAAGGAACCACAAAAGCGGATTGCGTACAAGCGAGGTGCCACAGAGATCAAACAACATCCCTTCTTTGAAGGGGTGAATTGGGCACTAGTGAGGAGTGCCTTACCTCCATACGTACCAGAACCCATTGACTTTTCTCAATTTGCTACAAACAACAACAACAACAAAAAAGTGGGTGAAATTGGAATGTTAGATGATGCTGCTTCTGCTATTGTAGATAACAACTCCTCCTCCTCTTCGTATATTGATTTTGAATACTTTTAAGTTTATGTTTTTACGTTTGTTGTTTGTATTGAATTAATTGAATGAGAGATTGGATTAACTATTTTGATGAACATTTATAATAGCTGTTAAGAAAAATTCTTTGCCAAATTCAATAGGGTAATTTACTTAAATAAGACTAAAACATAATGACTTTCTCAATATAGGACCATATATATGTTTTTATTTTCCAATGTAAGACTATTGGTCATTATCTATTAGTCATTATTCAACTAAATGTCCAACATCACTTGGACATTATTCTTCTCACTAGTCATTATGAAGTCCTATTTATTAGGGAATAAAAAAGCTCAAGTCTTACATTGGTAAATAACTACTCCCTCCGTTCTCAAAAACTCTTCCTCTTTCATTTTTTTTTTACTTCCAACAAAACACTTCCACTTTCAATTAAAAAATCAATTTAAACCTTACTTTTTCATACCCTACCTATCACATCATACTTTTTCTCTAATACTCAATCCATCACATCTTACTTTTACTCATCACATCAAGAGCAAAATTGGAAGTCAACTACAATTTAACACTTCCTTATTTTTACACAAAGTCAAAATAGGAACACTTTTATAGAATGGAGGGAGTAATATTTTAGTCTTATTCAATTCAAATTTCACAATTCAATAAAAACATGCCTATATGTGCACCACCTATTAATTAATATTTTGTTGTAATAGTTAATTTTTTTTTAATACTCTTTTGGTCTCAAATGAAACTTTTGACATGCACTAATGAAATACTCCATCCGTCCCCCAGTATTTGTCCACTTTCATTTTTACACACCATCCAATACACTTCTTTAATCCATTTTATCTTGTAATTTGTGTATTAAAAAATTATAGAAATTATATATTAATAATCTATATGTTAAGACAAATCAAACAAGATCACGCATGACTATATTTAGGCTTACACATTGAGAGAATTTGATGAGTCAAAGTGCTTAGATGAATAGTTCCAGAAGTCAAAACTAGACATATATTGGGGGACGGAGGGAGTATAACTTAGAGTCAATATTTTCTATGTTGCATTGATCGATTGTTTTACAAAATGATAACCATATTTCTTCTCTCTTCCATACTCCCTAAAAATCTTGTATCTTCCTCTTTTTATCCGTCTCAAAAAAATTTCCATTCTCTATGAAAATCATTTTTATCTCTACATATATCATTATATATCTATTGACTAGTAATTTATTCATCATGTCGTACTTCTACCTGATCATAAAATCATGAGCATTTTTTAAAAATCGACACTAAAATACACACTCCCAAAATATGTTAAAAGCCAATACATTAAGATTTCCATAGTCGAAAAAAGATTATTTTTTGAAAAATTATCTACTTTATTTAAGTAAAAAATATTTTTTTCAATTAGTTTAATTAAAAATGATAATTTTTTGTCTAATTTATTTATATGTAAATATTTTATTAAAATTGATAGTACAAACCAAATATTTTCAATTCCATTTGTAATTTGTATTCGAAAATGGTGATTCGTGTTGGATTAAATCAAATTCAAATTTGAATCCGATTTGTATCAAAGAGCGTCATCTTGTTTTGGTTCCACTCTTGTTACTCATATATGCATCATTTAATAACAACTTGGAAGTGGAGTCGCTAGAGAACATGTGGAATGTATCTTTTGCAGGCGAGTAAGAATGAGCAAAGTCAATCTTCCTCATAGTAAGGGGCTGTTTGGCAACTTCTGAATCGGTAAGTGCTGAACCAGTAAGAGGTCTGAACCATTAAGTGCTGAACCAGTAAGAGGTCTAAACCATTAAGAGCTAGTATATTGCTTAACTATTCAGAGGCAAATGTCTGATCAATTCAGATAAGAGGTCTTAACCATTCAGACTCTGTATAATACTTAACCATTCAGAGGCAAATCTCTTAACCATTCAGACATCTGAACCATTAAGAGGCTGAAACAAACAGTCTGAACCATTAAGTGCTGAACCATTTAGACATCTGAACCATTAAGAGGCTGAAACAAACAGCCTCTAAGTCTCTATCCCTTTCGTATTTTTCAGATCTTCTTCTTCTCCTCCTTTGTCTTTTCTCAAGCTTCTTTTTGTCATATTCGTCTTCGTGTTTCCACAAAAAAAGCTAAGCGACCAGTTTGACTCCATGAATTGTAAATCTCCACGAGTTGACATCCGTCTTGATGAATTCTTCTTACCTTTCCTTACATACAGAAATCTATAACTAGCACTCTATGTTGGGTGGTCAAACTCTCTCCAAGCATAATATTGAATTGCAATTAGTATAAAATTTTCGATCTGATTTCCTTAACAAAAAGAAATCAATTTGAGAGCAAGTCCTCCCACGGTTATACGAAATAAGATACTATTCAAGCTTATGAAGCAAGTGTTTGCAATAAGAAATTGAAAGGTCGAAGAAAAATCTAAGAGTTTGTAGTATACCTTCGAAATCTTCTAATCAACCAACTCAAATACGGATGTCAACCAGTTTGAATCCACGACTCCATTCAAATCTTCTCCTAGAAAAATCTTATCTCCTAATAGTATACCTTTTATTATACCTTCCAAGTCTTTCTCCGATACCATGTTGAAATATTGGAAAAATAATATTGCTCATTGAATTATGGAATACATGATAGAGTATATATAAGAGAGACTCCTAACACAACTAGGAATAGAGAATGGAAACTAATTAACATACAACATCTACCACAAATAGGATTAGGAAGCTGACTAATAATGAAACACTACCATGACCAATACTACAAGAAGTACTATAGTATCATTGTCTAACACTTATCTTGTGGTGCTCATTTAATACAATGATCCGATCTCCCACCCTCATAACATTAACCATGTCCTTCTTCCCTTTTTATCTATAATGATACCCACTCCATTCCTGCTCTTCACCTTTGTTCCCACTCACTTTGTTTCCTCCAAGCCCATGATATTAACCCTTCTCTATATCTTAGCATCCACCAGCTCCATGTCCCAAACCGCAACTTATCTTGACATTTACCTTTACCTTTTCGAACTAGCTTATTTACTCACTCTCGTTCACCTAAACATGAGAACCCTTGCTTATTTTTCACTACACATGGGCACTGATGCAGCGGCACTAGCTCATTTTGTCACTGTACTCAAGCCATACAACGCGTGTACTCGAGCCATACAACGCGTTGCTTCTGGGCAACGACCTATCTTTAGCGCAATATCGTATTTGTTCCATGTCATGAAGATTTGACAAAGTTTTACGTTGGTTGTCGAGACCTAACACAACCCTCCTCTTTTATCCAGACTTGGGACCAACTATGTACTGTAGTTACATAGTCAGAGTTAACACTGACATTTTATATCAATGTAATCCATCAATCTCTTACTTGTATTGACATACATGCATAAAACATAAGTATAAATTCTTTAGAGCAAATTTAGGAATCCAATTTTTTAGTACAAGTAGATTTATTCATTTTTTTAATACAAAATTCTCCGAAAAGTGGGTGGGAAAAAAGATGCATTGGGCCCATATGTGTTGTGGCCCTAATTGAAATAGGAAAGGAAACCAATTTAAACCGAGACAGCATCATTCATTCATTCATCGAAACCCAACAGCCCTAGCGCAGGAGTTCTCTGTTATTGTCATCAGATTTCTCTCCGGATTCCTTCTGCCCGTCGATGGGAAAGGAAATTACAGATTCCTCCAATACGATGCATCTCCATGAAAATCATGGTGCTCTGTTGAAAGAAAACACAGCTCATGTCAGAGAACTCTTCGACCAATTTCTATTATCGTTGAATCATGAACCAGCTCCGCGGATGAGGGCGACATCAGGTATGGTTCCTTCCTTGTCCACACACACCATCCTGCAGGCTGCTACACGCACACATATGTACTTTTCGTGTGTGTGTTTATGTTTGCTTGTGTCTAACACTTAGGAATGGAGAATACATACTCCTCTCCATGCGACGGCCGCACTATGCATCTCCACAAAAATCATAATCCGTTGGAAGACACAGTAGTTAATGTGGAAGAGCTCATGAGCCAGTTTTTATCATGGATGGCCCTGAACACAGGTATGTATTACCCACCGCCGCCCTTCTACACACATTATATGAAATGTGTACTACAACTATCCCACAATTAATCATGTCCTTATTTGAATAGTGCACTTCTCAACTGTAGGAAATCCAAGGGGAACAATGATTGCATCCAATTGTGGATTCAACAATGGGGCAGATTTTGAGGATGAACATGTCACAATTTATATCCATTTGCCTGTCAGAAAGATAAAGCCTGTACATAAGGAATCCTATAGAGACGAGTGGTTTTCTATTTCAACGCAGCATTTGTCGTCCAGTAAAGGCAGTCCCTTCTGCCCGGCCTTTTTGGATCCAGGCGATGCCCATGTTTTTTTATCTTTTTTGCCCTCCACTCTCCATAGGGTCTCATATCTTCACCTTCTGTGATGCATGCACCCCTCCACATACAGTGCATGTGTTCTATCTGGATACACATAATGTCAAGGGAGGATGGAAGGAAGCTCCTCCCCTGCCTCCGGTAACCTTCAATTATTACTTCTTTGAGGCCAATGACAAGATTTATGGATTGGGGATCTTTAAGGGTCTCTCGTTTGATTTATTGTGTCTTGATTGCCACGATTTGTCTAAAGGCTGGCAGTCCATACACCCCATTAGTAATGAACTATCAAAACAGCATCTTGATGATACTTTTTATGCATTCAAACTCCAATATGAAACCCCCGTTGATCCTGCAACTTGTAAAAGCAAGCGCCGTGCTACGCATGCCGTCATTCTTTTATCAAACCATCTCGTTTCTTATGATTTTGACCAAAATGCATTTAAGGTGTATGATGACCACGTGCCGCAAGAATGTTCCTGGAAATGCTGCACAGGTGTTGGTCATGGGAATTTGTTTTACATTTTGTGCCAGAAAAACACATATGAAAAGCCATACGCCGTTCTTATGGTCTACAATGACAGCGTCCACAAATGGTACCCAACTCCAGTTGTTGGTTTCGAGAACTTTCCTCATGCTTTGCCAGTGAGCTATGAAAGATTTTCTAAACCGGAACTCCCACGTGCACAATTGTTGCTCATAGGCGAAGGACGTCTCTGCATCCTTTGGGCTGACAAGGTTGACTTTCACAATGCTGTCACTCCAATTCACTGTACCAAATTTGATGTTCAAGTGATTGATGAGCAACCACGTGCTGTCAATGTTTCCACCCAGTTGTTCAATATCAGGGGTCCACACTCTATTCGGATAAATGCCGTGTAAGTTGTTTTGTTTTGTTTTCTGTACGTGTGTTACTCTGTTTTTTCCTCACTTTATCAAGGTTCTTGATGAGTTCATCTCTCAAATGATATATGACTGAGAGGAGAAACAAACTATTCCCAGGGATATTTGGAAGTCCCTGATGTTTTTTGGTGGAGTTGGATTGAGGATCTTGGGATGAAACTTTGTTGGTCGGGATCATAAGCCAAAATATGTTGGGAACTAAAAGATTTCTTTTAAGTGCAGTAGGAGCTGAGTGGATTATGTGAGAATGCAAATTGCACATCCCAATGTTGCACATTGCAAGGGATTGTTATTTGCCTCGTGTGTGGAATTGATTCGTTTATGTGATTCACCCTACATGTGTGGCAGAATAATATTGAAGGTGCAATTTGTGCTCTCAGGTTAGGAGTAGGAGTGCAGATAGCATTCCTCAAGTGGTTTTTAGTATTTTGATGGTTTGACAGATTCGTTTTGCACCAGTTTAATTCGCAGGGAGACGATGCCACAACTCTGAGGAAGAGAGTGCACACTGGTTGGGGTGTCCACGGTATGCTACAATGTTCATTGAGGGACTGGTTCTTATATTTCTGTTTATTTATTTATTTATTTATTTTATTTTACTTCTATTTATAAAATAATACTTGTCATTCCATCCTCTACATTTGAAGTGCTGTATTGTATAGAAGTACAAATGCTGATTTTTTGCAATTTAAAAGACATAACTTTCAAATAGTACGTACCATTCATTACTTTTCAATTAAAGAAGAAGATATGTGACTCACTAGTTACAACATTTGCCTTTTTTGGGAACTAATCTCATCCAAACAACTTTTTACAGTATTTTTATTTAATGTTTTTAAGACCATATCATGCCAACCTATAGACTTCATTTTAAGATGGAGGATGATATCACTTCTTGTACGACTTTGAAATTGATTTATTTCTTGCGATAAAGTAAGAAGTCTTGAAGATGTGAAGCATAAATTGATAACACTCGTGCGTGTGCGTCGGAGGCATCTCCAAATATCCATGTTTTTTGCAGTGTGTTTTGATTGATTAACTGTGCGGTGTGCTGTATTTGTCAGACACAGCCCTGCAAGAATCATAGAAGCAAGGGGCGTAAGACCAAGGAACACAAAAGCAAGGCGGGAGGTATGGGGGGAATGGGAGGAACAAGCTAAAGCTTTATGAATGGATGGTAGTGTTTTTTCTGGTGTCTTCTTCATCTATTTTGGAGTGGGAATGAATCTGTGAGGCGATGATCTCTACGTTTCCCTGTGAACAACAAGTGATATGTATGTATCAGCTCCAATGCCAGAACACAACAGAGAAAATAGGAGATCAGAGAGAGGGCAGAAGAACATAAAGAAAGAGGTAAAAAAGAAAAGATGATGCATACATGCAGCAACTTAATGGGAACCCCAAATCCGATGCATACATGGAGGAAATTCTCTGTATTACTCTCTTGTGAAACTTCATCTGAATACAAAGATCTAATCCTCTTTATATAGGAAGAGGGTATAGTAAATAAGGAAATTTCTATTCCTACTAAAATAAGAATTAAACAAACTAGGAAAGATATTAAATACTAAACCAAATCAAACTAGGAAAGATACTAAACCTAATTCCAAAGAGATTCGGTTTCCTTCTTCAATCCTGCTTCCTTCTTCAATCTTGTTTCCTTCTTTTATCTCTAACAGTTACACACTAATAAAAAAAATATAGGTGACTAAAGGGGAAATATGTTCTATTACATGGAGTTTTTTTAAATAGAAAGAAGAAGTGTTTTGTTGGAAGTAAAAAAATGAAAGAGAAAGTGTTTTTGAGAACATAGGAAATATAAAATTTTTTGTCATCACTATTTGATGTATAGTACCATACCATGACTTTCCAGGAATAAATGATGTACATTAGCATACCATGACTTATTTTTTCTTTGGAAAAATTACCCTAAAATAATCTCAACTTTACCCGGTCTTTTAAAAATAATTTCACCTTTCACTGTGATGCATAATAATAATCACAACTTTATTGAAATTTGTCAAGTTTTGGGTCGCCGTTTAATTTCTAACGGGGTTAACGGAATTGCCCGTTTTAGGCAACAAAATGAAAGTTGGGATTATTTTTGATGAATTTTTGTTTTTTAGTGTTTTTTAAATTTTTATTTAATTTTTTTGAATTACTTTCAACCTCCATTTCTTTTCTTTTTTAAAGATTATTCTTGCCTTAGAAAAAAAAGGAAAAAGAAATGATGATGGAGGTAGAAAGTAATTTTTAAAATTTAAATGAAAGTTTCTGGCAATTTAAAAAAACAGATATAAAAATTATTTTCTATCTCCATCATCATTTCTTTTTCCTTTTTTAAAGATTAGTTTTAGTTAAAAAAATAATAGATATATAAAAACGAAAAAATAAGAAATGTACCTAAAATGATACAAAAATAATAAAATAAATAAGGTAATTAATAAGAACTAACTTGAAATTGGTAATAAGTAAAATAAAAATATGTGGGTGGGTTTTAATATTTTATGCACTATATAAAGTATTAACATATCAATTCTTATTATTTAGAAAAAATTTATCTGCAATAATTCCAACTTACCGGACGGCTTATTCTTTTAAAAAATAAGTAGTATATCAAGACTCCGTATAGTGTGTAAAATGTTAAAATCTACCACTCCGTATATATTTATTTTATTTCTTACCATTTTCTGTTTAATTTCTATTGATTACATTACTAGCATTTCACCCGTGCAACGCACGGGTTCGAACGCATGTTATTTTTAACTCTGCTAGTTATTTGTTTTAAGTAAATAATTTAAAAATGAAGCTAAATATAATACAGAATAAGAAATTGTTAATGGCTTCCCCGCGTGAGTTTTGGTAAGATATGAATTAGAATAGCATAAATTAAGCTATTCCAAATCAGATGGCGATTCAGCATTTGATTGCTGAGATGGAGAAGCATCCGCTAAGTAGGAAACAATACTGATTCTTTTTTGAAAGAATCGGGGAATTACAATTCTTGCGATTGGATTCTAAATGATAAAGGAAAGCTCATATGTTCTCTTAATTTTGGGGAAGAATCAATCCCTCTCGCTCCTGAAGAAGATATCCGGCCGGTGGAAGTCTTCGGTGAATGAATCATTAAGTGAGAGACACCGGTCAAAACATCTAAACTTCATTAAAAATGGTCACATGTCAATTTTCAAGACATTAAACTATCAAATTTATATATAAAATATTTTAAAGTTTTTTTGGTGTTGGACACACCAAAAAATAAAGTAAATATTTTAAAAATATTTGATATGATAAATCTAATAAAACTATTTTTGCGTCAATATGCAATACCAAATTTTATGTAATTTAAGGTCAAAGTTTAACAATTTTGACAAAAAAAGTAAAAAATGGACAAATACTGAGAGACGGTAGAGTTTTAAGGTCAAAGTTTATCAATCTTATATGTTTTCTTAATTTTCCCCAAAATATTATTTATTAATTGTTGACATATCAAAATCCCAAAAAGTTAGTAATGAGTCATTATTTATTCTGGGATGTATTGAGATACACAAGCTTGATTATATGCAAAAACATTTTAAAAAAAGTATCAAGTTTATTCATAGTGCAACACAAATTAAAGTATTGAGTAATTATTTTTTTTGGGCACGCAAAAAAATGAAGTAACTATTCTCACATAGTGGTATCTATTTATTTTGGTAACATTGAACCTAATGCGTGAATTTAGTGGTGAGAATTATTGGAATCTAAAACCATCATGTTTCTCAAAGATATTATCATAGTCATAATATATTTCGTAACACGTTGATTATAAATTTTTCTAGAGCACAATTACTTACAATGTGTACTGTATTTTGTCATAAATATATTTCATCAACAACTAAAAATTTTACAACTTTTTAATTGATATCACTACTTCTGTTTCTGAGTATTTATTCTTTTTTGGCTTTTTTTGGTCAACTGTTATATATTTTTGTCCTTTAAATCAGTAAAATATAATTTCTATATTAATTAGCTATAACAATAGTTTGAAAATATTTGATATGATAACTCTAATAAAATTATTTTGTGTCAAATCGAATATCATTTTATATTTAATTTAAGGTCAAAGTTTATCATTTTTGAACAAAATAATCCAAAATGGACAAATATTGAGGTACAGAAGGAGTATGATCTGTATATTTGTCGTCCAAATACTACATATGTTGCAAAAAAAAGTATATTGTGACAATAGTTTTGAGCTAGAGGGCTTATTATTTCATATTTGTTCTTAGAAGATTGTTATATATGTAGTATAATATATGTTGTATATTATTTAGTATCTCCGAAAATATTTTATATTTTTTAAAAAACGAAAAAGAAAGAAAATATAAGTGTAAGAAACTACTTTGTAATTTTATGCACACTTCGTATAACTTTGTTTTCTTCATTTGCATACATTTACGTCATGAAAACGTATAACACTTATTTGAAATGGTCAATCATAAATAATATATGCAAAGGTGTAATAAGTCATAATGTCAAATTTTATTTAAAGTATTAATTTTGACTTTAGAAATTGGAAAGATAATTAAAAAGCCAAATTTTTTTAACAAATAGCGTTTGTTTCTTAAAAAAACAACTAAGTACGTATGATTATTTTTAGGTAATTTTACATGTTCAAAAGTTTTGCTCTTAATTGTAATTATTAAACACATATTTTTTTTATTTCGGAGAACCAAAAAAATCAGTATTAGTAGCTGCATTAGTAATTTTTTTCAAAACAAACACAAATGAATGATTTATTCAGTATAATAATATAACATTAATTTATATTATGAAGTATATAATAGATCAAAGTATACAATATGAGTGTAAGGACATTGAATTGAGTATAAATTATTCAAACATGCAATCGTATTTAAAAAACTAAATGACACAATATTTAAATTTTTAAATTCAAACAAAGAATCCAAAAATGATAAATTATAATACGTCTAACACATAATTCAAATCCCAAGAACTGAATAGTACTCAAGCTAACATAATAGTTCTAGTCTTAAATTTTCTCAATCTTAACGGTCTTCATCTTCTTGCTCGGTTCATGACTGTCTGCATAGTCAGTTTCAACCTCTTCCATTCTTTTGTCAATAGTAGAGTCGTTGATATCATCTCCAAGTCGTTCAATTCCCCGCTCTAATGCCCGCTAGGTGCTGAATATGTCTCGGGGTTTGTGGAATAGTCATTACAAAATGGAACAAACATAATAATTAGGTTGCATTGGATCGTAAGAAATGGCTCACTATCTTTGGGAAAGAGAGGAAAAGGCTAGAATGGCAACTTAAGAGGATGTGATGACACGTATGTATAAGCGGTGGTAAAAGCATAGGAAATTTACATAAGATAAGTAACAACAATAAATTCCATGCCTTCTTTTCTTGGAATATAAATTGGTGCACTTATATTGCAGCTTGTGAATGAAACTTTTGTACACACCTGCAACCATAGATGAGAAGCCCAAGCTATTTGTTGATTGAAGCAAAACTCAAGTTCACTACGAAGACTCTCTTCCACTGAATCCTAAGTGCTAATTTTGCCTACATATAAACTTATAAGTAGAAGTTCTAAGATGAATAAACACATATAAACTTATAAACACATATAAACTTATAAACACATATAAACTTATCATTTTGCCTACAAATGATATATGGAATAACAAACAATGTTACATATTACTATAAATTTAAGCTTCCAGTTATTAACATGTAGTATGGCTGCTGGTGTACAAACATTGTGCATAAGCACATAGCACACAAAACAGCATTGTTATGTTACATCAAAGGTAAAACAAATCAAAACCATATATTTGCAAGTGAGATAAAAAACTGCATGCAACCACAGGACTATACTTTAGGCTATAAGAGGCTTCTAGAAAAACATCGGAGTATTACATACCCCCTATTTCATTAGCATAAGAAACTGATGCAAATTAAATAAGAAAGGTATACTTGAGTATCAACAATATGAACATGGGCAGCACATTATTATTCCTTAACCATTTCCCTAAAATTCCCCACATTGACCTTAGTTTTACAACCTTTGTATATTAAATCTTACAAAAATCCAGAGGACACTAAGTCTGCAACTTCTTTGTAATTGTGGTCCCTTGTGTGGTCAGTTTCCTCTAAACCCTCCATTTTCCAAACCTGTTATCACCATAAGCTCATATAGTGATTCAAGTAAAATACATATTTGAGTTTGAGGAATTGATGCTCTCAATCAAAGTCAAGTCAAACTTAGCTTTCACTTTAAGTTTTTGAAAGGTGTAAATTATGTTGAAACAGACTTTGAGGAGCATGTACTAAGAATTACTCCATATTT